AGTTAATTTAAAATTTTTTAATGTTATGAAGGTATCATTTCGTGTTTCATTTATAGGTAAAACAATTTCCATACCTAACATAAATATTCAACAATAAGATTCTGTATGAACCAAAAGCGTTAAGTTTAAATGAAGACAGTCAGTGATGATTGAAGATAGAATAATACGATAAAATTTTGATTAAATCAACAATGAATATAATGTAGATGATTTTTTAAATAAAACATGATGATTCATGTATTTTAAAATATTACTTTCGTTAGAAATATATTTTTTATAAAGTAAATATTATATTGTAAATATATTTCAGAATTTTGGCAACCTCTATAGGCTTTATAGCAAATGCTATTAATATTTATTATTATTAGATTCGATTTCTTCTTTATGAAAATTGAAGTAAGATTATTTATATTGGCTTTAACCCGCAAAATATTGGTGAAAAGACAAATGGCCGTAGAAATAAAGAACCAAACCAGGTTTCTCGCCTTTGTAGAAGGTTTGTATAAAAAACATCCGGTGGTAGCAGAATTTGGTTTAATGGAAAATAGACGTCGATGAWAAAGTTTTACATTATGTGATCAGGTACAGACTGACCTTTTATTTATGATAATTTTTCCTTCAGCTGGTAGTAAAAATCAATGAAATCTTTTTTTGGTTATATTTCTAACCAGGGTATTGTATATTTTTCTTTGAATACRATACCATCAGTTTTACCACGTTGGTATTCACTAACAGTTCGATCAATTATTTTATTATTCACTTGACATTACCAAAGATGTACCTATTTGATTATGAACAAGGGAATGTCAGAACGGTTCGTTTGGAAAATGTTTTTATTTGTTAACACTATAATGGCTGTGAATTATGATTGTTATTACTCAACATATTATGGTGACAGAGAGACGGTGTCCTATTACAATAAAATATAATTCATTGTAGAATGTAGATATACTGCCGATTTATTGTGTTTTTTTATATTAGCCATTAGGTATAGATCTGATTTATTTATACGTAATAATAATATAATTTACATTAATCGTGATCTGAAAAGGTTACTTACGTTTTTTTCTGAAGGATGTACTATAAGGAATGTTTCTACCTTGTGRTCTGCCAAGTAACCTTCTCTGGTACCACCATTGCCTGGTTCAACGGAAAATCTACCATTTAATTGTTCCATAGTAGCTCTAGTGACATGCACACGACTAAAACATAATGTAACCACTTATACATATATTACAGTTACATATTACATTTTCTAGTTAATATACTGTGTAATGTATATAAATCATAATATTATACCCTCATTTAGCGTAAAATATATTTTTCACTCATTATTTCAAACTATTTACTAATTATTAATTGTTTTTCGTAGTTCCATCTTTATAAAATAGCGTTTTTGGCTACAACTATATTTTTTCATATAACTTTAAGTTTTTACTTTTTCATAAGACAATGAACATTTTTTATTTCTTGTTAGTAAGCTGAATATTGTTTGAAGTATTTCGACATTTATATATACAATTTTTGTCAATAAATAGCTGATTAACGGACAAACACTTTATGCGTGTTTCATTCATAARGYCATTCATACAATTTTTAAATACATACTACTCATAAAATTCTTGTCTAAAATTTAATTTTTATACATTGAAGTACCTAATATAAAAAATATTCTGATTGGAAATAACGAATTAAAAATGGATTTTGTTTATGCTGTCATTAAAAAAAATTGAGTTAATAAAATTACAGTGGTAAAATATAGCTAAAATTATAGTTAAACAAAATATATTGTTTTGTTACAAATTAAAAATTATTTTTAAAAATTTTATAATTTTTGAAAATTTTACTGGCTATAAACTATACTAATATAGCAACTGGAAATTCAGGGTTAAGGTTGAACATTAAAATATGTTTATCAAAAAATAATTAACATAATTATTTAAAAGTAATTTGGAAAAGAACTATTTTTACAATTCTAAGAATTATACCAATAATTAGTACATATGACAGGGTCTATTTTGCAAATAGRCAAACAACAAGGGCGTTTTCAAAATTCTTCGAACTCCGAACTAATATAACTAAATAAAGCCATAAAGGAGTCCGCAGTACAGCAACTCTACTTTAATCGTTGAGTAYTGAGCACCTTCACGAGTGACACACATGACTTGTACAATACATTTTTTTTTAACTTGTGTTATTTTCAAAATAGATAAACATAATTAATGTTTCAGGATTGCAATTAGCACTGTTAAAATTGTCTTAAAGTAATAATTACAAAAAAAAAAATACCATTTGGAATTCTGGCAGAATAAATGTAACAAAATAATGAGTGTTTCTGATAAAATTATCACGCAGCATATTATTATACTTTAAACTATATCATTAGTTTAATTACCATGTCACTTGATCAATATTATTATGTAGGATAGTTGTGTAGACATTATGTTTTAGGTACCTACTCAGATTTTAAATAGATATTAAGTAAATTAATTACTTAAATAAATTTTGTCGAAGTGTAATATTATAAGTATTGTTTTAATGAAATGCATGAAAATGACATGTTGACAATAATGAAAATTATACGAGATTGCTAATTATTTAATCCTCACGAGTCACAATTKAAAATATATTTTATTGATGTATGATGTATTTATATTGTTTATGCTGTCAAGTATTGTAAAGCAATTGATAGTTTCAATGACGTGTGTATTTATGTTAATTTTAATTGTTCATATTATCATATTTATACTACGAAGCATTAATTCTCATTTTTCAAACAAATTATTAAAATCAAGTATTTTAAGGTTATGAATAAGTATCTGTAATTTGATTGTCAACAAATTAAACGCTTATTCTGGAATAGGTAAAATTTGATAATCTGATTAAAATGTCAAATGCATCCTTGTTGATCCTCCAATCATATTTATAATTTAAACCTGTCATATTTGATGATACGCATAATCAAGGGTACTTTTATTGACAAAAAGCGTTTATACAACACGATAAGTGGATATT